AGGAACAGTATCTCGGATAAGGAAAGCTAACCTGCTGTAAGAGCTGAATGGGGAACAGTATCTCGGATAAGGAAAGCTAACCTGCTGTAAGAGCTGAATAAGGAACAGTATCTCGGATAAGGAAAGCTAACCTGCTGTAAGAGCTGAATGAGGAACAGTATCTCGGATAAGGAAAGCTAACCGACCAGGCAACCTGGAGAACAGTCGCATTTCTGGCCCTCCGCGCCTCTCCATAACCTAATAATAAAATATAAAATTGAAAGTTGAACATTAATATTAGAACACAATAACTGATGAAAATGTTTGTTTGTTTGTCTCCAATCAATGCCAAAACGGCTGCACTGATCAACCCCAAAATGTTTGAGGTAGCTCAAAATACACCTAACCGATCGGGATTAAGGATATCCCATGCTAAAGGTTTCAGCTCTGGGAAGGGTCATGGATGGTTAAAAGTTTGAAATGTATATTTTTAAATTTTGAAAAAAATTATATATTTTACAACATTTAAAGAAAAATCGGAAAAATTTTTTACTTGACAATTTCGATGAACTTGAAAAACAATATTCATACACTTAAAATGTTTATAGAAAAGGGTCACTAAGTGCCCTAAAAGTCTGGTAATATCTAAGATGTACTTTAAATTTATTTTAATTATTAGACTTTCTAACAAAAAATGCATTTAACAAACCTTTCCTCGTGTCTGGCGCATATTCAGTTTTTGGATAATGTTGAATCTAACAAAATGGATATACATTAGAACAAATAATTTATAAACTAACAGCTAGGGGGGGGGGGGGATAGCTGAACTAGAGACTATCCACACCTGGTTCTGATAATAATTTCATTAATTCCGACCTCTGTCGATTAAGATTCATTAAAATTATTTTGAACTTTTACTCAAGCAGGCCCAGTTATTATTTTTTTTTTTTCAGAGCGGATCCAGGATCCGGATCCAAGATTAAATGGATCTGGCGGGAAGAAAGAATAATAAATTCTACAACTCATGTTTGATGTGAAGATTATATAAAACATATTTCAAAAATTAAAAATATATGTAATGTAAAATATCCCTGTGTCCGTGCGAAGGTAAAGATACAGGAACATGCACAGACGGTAACCCACATCCATTTACTCGACCTCAAGTAATATACAATTATTAGATGGATAAATGGATAGAAGGATAGAAGGATAGAAGTATAAAAGGATAGAAGGATAGATGGATAGAAGGATAAATGGATAGAAGGATAAAGGATAGATGGATAGATTGAAAAATGGATAGATGGATAGAAGGATGGATAGATGGATTGAAGGATAGATGGATAAATGGATAGAAGGATGGATAGATGGATTGAAGGATAGATGGATAAATGGATAGAAGGAAGGATGGATAAATGGATAGATTTTAAGTAACTTTCGATTTAAAAAAATGGGAAATGTCCGACTACCAAAGGTACTCTGGAAACCTTGATTTGATTAACACAGATGTTCGCATATTACACAGACTTTACTCATTTAAAACAGTGGATTTCTAGAGAGAGGGGGGAGGGCATTACTCCAAAGTCCCAATCCCTGTGTACGCCCCACTCCATGATAATACTGACCTGCTGATGGTTTCTGCTTGACAGGACTGGACGACGAATGACTGAGACATGTTGAATTCGAATCATCCGAATCTAATTCATCCGCCACCTCCGTCACACTACTTGTAGCTGTAGTATCACTCATTCTTGGTGATGTATAACCACCATTTATAATTAATTCTGAAAAAAATGGCTTATCTGATAATTCACCGAACCCTAGCCTGTCCTGAGCTAATCGCATCGTTTTGTTCCCTAGCCGCATCGCTTGGTCAAAAAAAAGTTGGTAATTTTTTTTGGTTATGTACAAAATGGATAGGGGGGGGGGG